ATAATGCATAATTCTGCTGTTGCTGTGTAACCAATTGTGTGTTAATTATGCATAATCCCCTACAGCTGGGCTGCTCACACACAACCAGCTTTGTGTGAGTGTGAAGACATGATTACAGTAAAAAAAAAAATTTGCAACAAACGGAAAACAGTTGTGTATTTTGAACCCTGGAGCAGCTCAGTCATCCAGGACATTCACATGACCTTTGGCATGAAAACTGTGCCAGCCTCAGCCACTGAACATGATGAGGTCATGGGGAGGATTTTCTTCCAAGTTTAACACAAGTTTCCATGTAGGGTAAGGACACACCCTAAACAAGTCTGCTTCACTGGGTCTTTTTTTTCCTCCTCTTTCCTTTTCCCCCCTTTTTTTCTCCCTGCTGGTTAGGGAACGCCCTGTCTCTGCATACTTAAGAAGCCACCATTCTCTCTCTTGCTGCCCAGCATTACTCAGTGTATCCTGGAGTGGCTGTGCAAGTCTGACCGGCCTAAGAACAAAATCACTCAGCATGCATATGGATGACATGAATGAAATTCATTTAACTGTGGTGAGATAAAGCCAGGCTCCAGATAAGGTGTGTGTGTGTGTGTGTGTGTGTGTGTGTGTGTGTGTGTGTGTGTGTGTGTGTGTGTGTGTGCGTGCATTGTTAAGTGTTATCTTACCTGTCTGGCTCCAGGTCGACAATGCCCATCACTATGATCTTCTTCCCCGGCCGCATGCCGCCCCGGATGCGCCCGCTGAATGGCACCGTCTATGCAAAGTACATTGAATTTATTAAGCACGGCCCGGAGATCAAACAAGGACACGTCAGAGACCGTTAAGGCATCTCTCATACCAGGAGACGTGATAGATCCTCCTTATCAGGTGAGATGAGTCCGGGGTTCCCCAGCGAGTCGTTCAGATGGTCATCCTCCACATTCTTCAACACCAGTGACAAAAGACACAGGACGCAAACTGTCATTTATCGCTCATCAGGTAGGATATAAACCGGCCTGGCTCAGGTTAAACAGCCAACATGAGGCTGCAGGCCTGTTTATATACACACAGTGTGGCCTTGCATGCGGCTCTTCCCAACAATGACGAGGTGGCAGCGGACCTGTCATGTTGTTATCGGGGCTCCAGTAGCGAGCCATGTGCCAAATTAGCCTCATAAACCCGCACCTGCGATGGAAGTTCGCACATTCATAGCGCCGGTAGAGCGGCCCAGGTGAGCACACACTGCCGGTACATTTCACCACCAACATATTGGATTTCTTCCCCCGGTTGAACGCGGAATGAAAGAGGAGTCGCCTTGCGCCGTGAATGCGCTGCGCACGGCGCTCCGCATTTACAAATAAGCGGCGGATAATCGACATAACGGTGCGCTTAAATCACATCCGTAGGCCATTCAGCACAGAAATTAAATACCAGCACATCTAACACCCGCCCTGGTTCCCCCGAAGCTCCCAAATACTCACTATTCCGTCCTTTTCCGCTGCCTGCACCGCCATCTTGAGCAGAATAGCATAGGATGCTGATTATCGGAGCAGAGGCGGCCCTGCCGGCGACTGTGGTGTGTCAGCGTCGTGGCACTGACTCAGGAGGATATTCCTGATCCTGCTCCTATTCCTGGGTCTCCACGTCTGAGCGGGCCTGACACAGAGCGCTGCAGCCACCTAGCAGGACATCCCTCCGCTCCTGTGTGTCTGAAATGGGTGGATATCTGCTGACGTATGCTTTATAATAATTACAGACTAAAAGCTTAATCCCCGTCTGTTGGAGAGGGCTAATCAGACAGATTTTCCTCAACCCTTCACCCAATTAGGCAACGCGCACTTTGGGCTTTTTATTTCTAGATTGGGAGAACAATCCGGCAAATAAATTGGGTTGGATAACCGGACTGCTGCACTCAGTGTGTGTGTGTGTGTGTGTGTGTGTGTGTGAGAGAGAGAGAGAGAGAGAGAGAGACAGTGTGGTTCTCATGGCTTAATTGACCAAAGTGTGGACGCTCAATACGTTTGAATGATTAAACAATACTCCAGGCCACTGAGGCCACAGACAGCTATAAATAGCTATAAATAGACCTGTTTCTGCTCAGTTGTGAGCCTGGAACAATTAATTGCTTTTCACTGAATGAGGTGGACATTCACATTGTGTTCCTTTCATTGACTTTTACACACACACACACACACACACACACACACACACACACACACACACACACACACACACACACACAACCCTCTCTTTTCTGTCGTTCTCCCTCCATCTGTTCATTCCTGTGCATGCATGCCCCCCCCCCTCTTAGGCTAGTTTACTTTAACTGATCCATTCTGCCCCTCTGTGGACATTTAAAGGAATTACAAGTTGGAGCCACATATCAAAGTCCTGCTCCATAGATGGTTGATGCAACAGCCAATTAAAAGCTCGTAAATCCGTTTATGTCAGGGCTTTAATACATTCAATTACATCACGCAGTCTCATTAGGAAATTATATCTTCTTTTATCCCTTTAGACTTTTTTAACCTTTGACATCAACATTTGATATTTGAAGCAAGAAAAAAGATAAAGTTTTAACATTTGTGGCCCCAGTGGGACATAGAGCACAAATCGTGGCAGCAGTAGTATCAGATATCATCAATAAATATAATCAGTCCTAGGATCAGTGTCTCAGGCACACAAGACTGAGACATCCATGACGTTTTACATCCATAAGCTGGTTTTCACATCACCGCTCAGTTTTTCTGAGAAAGAAACCCAATCAACAAGTGTTTCTTATAGTAATAAATCAGATTTAAAGCCCCTTTCACAAGAGACACTTTATATAGGCTAACCAAAACAAGCAGAAACTGAATTAATAAATAGCTTGATTAAAGAGATTTAAATCAGGAGAGACTATTGAGTATAGATAATTATTTATTATAACATATGATATGTGATGTGATGAAGTCTTAACAGAAAGTCTTTGGCGCTTGAATTCTACAGGGAGAGTTTTGTGATCGGGGGTGTCTGCCCTGAACATATAATATATATACCCCCCCCCATGGACTCCAGACACATGGTGGTGGTGGCTGATGACTCTGCTGGTGCTGATGAAATAATGAAGCTGAGGTGTTGGATAGAGTCAGCTGGGTTTGTCTCTGCCCTCTCTCTTCCCCATTTCCTGTCACTTTTCAGCTGTCACTATCGATTAAAGGCAATAAAATGATGATGAATCTGCAAAGACTGGGCCCAGCACCATGAATGAGTAACAGTAAGATGATAGCAAGATGTTGCTTCGCTATTGGATTATAGCCATTACTGGCTTAATACATGTCCAATTAAATTTTAATGAGCAGTGAGCCAATTGCTTTGCAAGAGACAAAGAGAAGACAAAGCATTAAAACAATGACACAATAAAAAGCAATTAAAAGAGTTTACACACATTTCCCCTCACATTATTCTTTACAGGTGCAGCCAGCAGCAGCAACAGACACTTCAACTACACCCTGCTCTTGTTTGACCTAATTACAACTATGGACGTCACTGATGCCTGTTTGTCTTAATTTTTTCCAAGAAGACAAAAACACTTAATTGTACGTCTACACTTAAGCATTTAAACGTGCCGTCCTCTAAGTTTTACTATAAAAACAAAATAACACGCTTAATCGACTGTGCGCCTTTTGTTTAGGGGCTCCTCATCAGGTCTTTTTAGATTTCCTCTTGGGGACAAAGAGCTATTACAGGTGATATTGTGCTGTGTTGTTGTTGATATGTCATAGCCTACACATGCACAACATTAAATCCCCTATAAAGGTCCAAAGTTGTTTCTGCTAGTTTAAGGTACATTCCTAAACCAGCTGAGCCTGAACTGAAGAACAGATAGACACTTAACAACATGCTTAGTTCAGTACTCAAGTAAATTATTTGCTTTCCCCTCTTTAACCACTGATCATCATTGATTTTAGTAGCAATGAATCTCTTGTTTTGTGCTTCCATCTTGTGGTTTCTCTGGGAACTGCACCATGATCTCAAACCATATTTTGAAAATAATTCAGAAATTATTCAATTTAATTCAGTTAAATTGTATTTGTATAGGTAAAGGGAGAAGGACAGAGACAGAGACAAAGATGCACAACAAAACAATCGCAAGAAATTAATAATGATGATGATGATGATGATGATGATGCTGATGATGATGATGACAGCAAAGGGGAATGGTGAAATTATTTGTTCATAAATCTACTTTGCAGAGTTTTGACCAGAGAGGGGGAGATGGAAGGGTGGGAACTTTCTACTTCTCTGAAGATGAACCAACCTGATACATCTTCATACCTTGAGGAAGTAAAGGGGAAATGCAACCAAACAAGACCCCTGGCGGACGCATACTACTGAAGGTGAAGGCCCTATGCTCAATGAGATGGAGATTAGTCGCCTCCTCCACTGCTGTTCTGAATCTTAACGTGTCTGCATAATGATAAATGAGGGAATTTCAATTTGTTTCCAGATGAGTTTCTTGTCCTTGGGGTGAAATTAAAAAAGTCAAAATTAAAAAGGGCACAAAACATTTAGCAAATTATTTCTTTTGAAAGATGCTGAACCTAGTCACGTCATATCAAATTGCATGTCACAATGGATATGTATGCAGTAGAGCATCAGCCCCTACAGCGACAGGTTAGTCCATGTGATCTGCAGCACGCACAGCGGCTACAGACTCACTCTGCGGCTGACAATGAATTATACAGGTGAACAGATGAGAAAATCCCCCAAATCCTTTATCTTCTTAGTCCGTGGCTGCTCTCGACTGTCAGTATTTAAAACTGAGAGAACAACTGGCCCTGCTTCAATATAAGAAGTCCCATAGCGCATCTATCCCCCTTTCTCTCTCCCCCTTCTCTCTCGCTGTCTCTCCTCGCAGAGACCTACTGCCCGGTCCGCCCTTCTCCCTGCTGCCATGGCCGCGGAGGCTGCCGGTCGGGATGATGCGACGGCCGGTCCTGCAGACTGCACCGAGATGGAGGAGAGGGTAAGATGCTTTTATACCATTTAGGATGTTCTCTCTGCGAAAACCTTCCGGATTGAGACCGTCTGTTGACAGCGGGCCTCTCCGCTCCCTGACGCGCCGCTGCAGCAAGATGGAGAGAAACTGTGCAGGATGCACACCAGCGCAGCAACCTCAGTGGTGTCTGTTATTATTTTTTATTTTTTTGCACAGCATTCAGCTACACATTTGGGTTTAGGGAGGATGAGCTTTATCGTTTGAGCAACTGGGAGAGAAGGGGTGAGAGAGGGGGCGCCGTGCACCCGCACTGCTGCTGCAGAGCTCACATCCTGTGTGACGCGCTGATGTGAAAAGGGAGAAGTGAAAGTGCAGCAGCTGGTCGGTCCGTGGATGTAGGCTACCGAGGCTCAGCTTATAAATAGCCCCCACAGTGGCCATTCTTTAACAGTTTGCGTATCACTCGCCTGGTCTGTGCTGAATCCGGAGAGATTTGAGCGCGCCTGTCAAGCTCGTTTTCTTCCCCTTGGTGGTGACGCAAGTTGGCAACAACTTGGCAGGCAAGGTAGGATTTTTTCCTGATCAACAGAGCCGAGTGTAAATCAAAAGAGAGGCATTGTTGGGCTGATTGAGGTCTTTATCAAAGGAGAGCCCGCAGAGGCACAGTGTGGTGCTTTCTTTAATTATAGGCTGTTCATTGATGGGACTGCAACTACTACAAGAGACTACTATTTGTAACAATTCTCTATTTGGATCAAATAATCAAGCACTTAAAATGAAAAAAATCACAAGTTCAGAACCCAAGGTGATGTCAGATGGGTTAATTTAGAATACAGTTTGTGACAGGAAACAGTGACAATCAATATAATCTGAGAATTTGTGGAGCTGTAACTATCAAATATTTGTTGTTTTTGTGCCAATACAATTTTTAGATTATTTTGTTTAGAAAAAAAAACTTTACATTTAAAAAAGCCACCTGTTACAGGCTGTGTAGAAGGGTGTGTGTGTGTGTGTGTGTGTGTGTGTGTGTGTGTGTGTGTGTGTGTATGAATGAATGCGTGTGTGTGTTAGGTGGGTATTCTTCCGAGGTAAGCATCCGTTCTCCACCTGCCGGCAGAACTGAACCTGTTCTTCCACTTTGTAATCACATGGGCTGAGAAGTTTGAGTCAGTTGATGTTCACTTGCTCTTTCTTAGTTGTCTTCAGCCTGTGGACTCACTCTTTTTCATCCTCTCCACTTCTCACTTTTGCCTCCCTCTTCTCTCAGGGTGAGTGTTTGCTCAGATTGCTGCTTTATCCTCCATCAAGCTGACGTTTGCTGTCAGTGCGTTTTCCTGCAGATGAGTTTATCCTTTTTTTCAAGCATTATCTCAGATGCCACTGATAGATTGATCGCAGCCTCCAGGCTAATTCATACAGAACCAGGGTGAGATTTGTTTTTGTGTGTATTCTGCAGATATAGGCTACAATGCCAAAGGTGAGCCCAAGCAAATGCGTCAGATTACGCAATGCAGTCTCCCTAATCTCCTCACTGCAAAATGAGGGATACTGGATTAAAGGAGGGAGTTAGTTGGCGAGTGGGGGAAACCCGTGAAAGAAGGCCGTTATTAGAGATTACTGGGCAAAGGATTGTTTTACGACCCAAATACTTTGTCTGCTGAGGCTTGACAAAGATGCAAGGAAGCCACCAGGAATATCAGAGTATGAGAGCGTTGGTATGTTGTTGTGCCAGAAGTGAGATTCATCTTGGACTTTTGGTTTTAAGTTTTTTCTCCCTTATTTGCATTCTTGAAAAAACACCAATCTGGTTTCTTTCAGCCACTTGAACACTTGCAGTAAAGCCTTTTAAACCACCAAAGCTACAAACCTCTGCAGGAATAAAGTTAGTTATTTTTTTCTCAGAAAGCTTTTCAGTAAAAAAAAACTTTCATTGTGTTCAGCAGTGCAAAGCGGCAATTTCCTCTCCAATCTTAAAGAGTTTGCTCATGTGTTCATACCCTCCGTCTATGAATTTGAAAGCACATAACATTTGAATTATGAATTCCCTAAATCATTTTTATGATATGATATATAATGTAATATCAGTCTTGATGATACATTGTCAGTACAGAAACAGTAATGGTCTTGGAACCACTTTGTAGACTAAAACAAACTGCAGCAGATACATTTTAGGTGCAGTTTGGGGAAGCTTTCTATTTAGCACTGCAAAACCACAACAGAAAGCAGAAGATGACATTATTCTCTCTCTACTGTCCCTCAGCTGCCTTTCGTTTAAACTTGTATATTTAATTGATTACAGCAGGTCAGTGGAGTATATTATGGTTGTAAACCAGTAAGCCACTCGTAGGACATTTTGTTCACTGCAGTAATATTGTCAAATGTGTTTTACACCAAGTCAAGTTTACTCCACACCTAAAAGTGTAAAAAGTGTTTAAAAATAACCACAAATGTCCCTCAGATTGAAGCATTTTAATCAAGCTGACATTATTTAACTGATATTTCCTCATATAACACATTCTTTCTTGGAGGAAGAGTGTACGTATGCTTGCACTACATATTCCTGCAAACAGTATTTCATCTTCAGTACTTTCTTTAGCTCTAAAAATGCATGTGAAACAGCCCGGCATCTGGTCTTAAACACAGAGCACCTACTACTGTATAAAGTCTTATCACTAGCCTTTATAAAGTATGTGCATATGTGATTAAGATATACTGTATGTACATATTGTAAATAATGGAGGACAAGTGCATCATCTCATGAATTATTATTCTTGCTGTGATATGGTTTCTCTCAGCCTTGTTGTCCACGTGTCACATCTGCTCAGTTTATTTGGTGAAATCTGAAAATAATCAGTAAATATCTGCAGACAGGCATCCGTCAGGAATGTCTTTGATGTTTAACAAAGTGTTGTCCTCTCTTTCAGCTGAAGGAAGGAAATATGAAGGCTGATTTGGAGGCTTCTCTGGTTGCTGGTCAGGAGGATTTTGCAATCCGGTGCCGGGACGTGTGCCGGTCGTACGGGAAACTGAAAGTCCTCAGCAACCTCAACTTGACTGTACCGCAGGGACAAATGTGAGTGTGTGAGTGTATGGGCTCAAGTCTGTCATTATGGCTGCAATTTGAGACTATTTTCCTTTACTTATAAGACATGTATCTGTTTACCACTATCTGTTCTTTTCCTCGATACTTTTTTCCTGGGTTTAAAACAAATTCTTATCAGAGTGTAAAGCGCATTGGTAGGGAATCAAGGAAATGGGAGGAAGTATGGAAAAGGCTGATAATATAACTACAGCTATCTTTTAATAAGATAATACTGTAAGTTGTATTTTTAAGCCTTATACCTCCACCTCTCCCCTTGTAGCACTGAGCAGGCACAAACAATGGACTTGTCCTTCTCCTCCCAGTCAGCAGATGTGTTCTCAACATGCAAATGAGGCTATCATTCGTGGGTGAAGTATTCAGGACCTGGCTGAAACTAGTCTACTCGCCTTTTCCTTTGTCATGTATCTGCTGACTGATCAAAATTTCAATCTCCTGCTGGACTGCCAGGTCAACTTTAAAAAAATCAACCTTGTTTGGCTTCCTAAAGCTGAAGCAGGAAACCCCAAAGGGCGGAGGACATTTTTTGAGGGTCGTAGACATCATTACAAATAATTTTACTGTACTTATTGCTTTGTAGTCCAGCTCCTGTAGTCAAGTTCATAGAAGAACTGAAATCCACAATGCGCACAGTTTGTTTTTTCTGTAGTTTTCTGTCGTCTGTTATTTCTCTGCACGTGTGCTTCACCAGAGAGGATTTATGTAGGTTAACACGTTACAGGCTGGAAGAGGAAGATTGAGGAAAAAAAAAACTTTGAGTCAGAAATAGTTTAGGCTCTTAAACTGTTTTTTTTTCTGATGACAGAAACAATGGGGAAGTGATGAGTATGAAAGTCAAGACACAAGCTTTTTTCTTACTTTCATTACAGGCTGGAAATGTGCTGAATGACAAAGCTGATATAGTGTTACAGCTAGCAGCTGTGTTACATTGTGCATGTGATCTGCTTTTTTTTTTTTTGCTTAATACAAATATTACATTAAGACCCTTTTACTGACTGACTTTCACAAATTGGTTTTAAACAAAAGGCCAGCATAGTTATAGTTAGTTAGTTAAATAATTCTTCTGACAATGTACATTAATTTCTTTTTCATTTTTGTTTTGTTGGTTTTTTTTATATTCCAGTGGATAAGTGGACAAATTTAAACTGTAGAAAGTAAACATACAAATTCCATTACTTCCTCAGACTCAAAGACAAAAGGTTTCTTTGTAAAGCTTTGCTTGTTTGCCAATTTTGATCACACAAGAAGGAAACTATCAAAGAAGCCCAAATACAAGTCAGAACATGTAGCATTCTGGGATCAGTGGGTCAGCTGAGACTAAAACACTGTATTGATAATAATAATAATAATAATAATAATAATAATAATAATAATAATAATAATTTACACATTGTATCTCATATGTATCATTTGTACACAAACAAAAATGTAGAAATATGTGGTTTTGGAGTTATGTACTGTAACTATTTCTTGAGAATTGTTGAGTGTCAAGAAATTACGCTACATAACTCTCTCTATCAAACCATTTTTTACATTTTTACATGTTTGTGTAGCCCTATAGATTGAACAAAGTAAATATAATAAATTAATTAGTGAGCTTTAGAGGTGTTGGTAGACTTTTGAACTTTGGACAGAGACAGGCTAGTTGTTTCCCCTCTGGTCAGCTGTATGCTAAGTTAGGCTAAGCCAGCCACCTCCCAGTTCTAGCTCCAGTCTTAAACATGTAATAAGATATTGTTGGCCAGTTAGGGTAGCGAGGTATAAACAATCGATCGCCTTATAAACTTATATGTACACAGCCAGTAAGATTAGTATTCATTTGGAATCATGTATCAATATGTATATGATGGATCAACATTCACTCTCCTTTTAGCTCTTTTTTGGCCTCTACCAGCTACTCAGGGAAATATCTGGCTCTATAGCTGCTAAATGATCCACTGTGTTCACCAGCTAGCTCCTAACTGTGTTTGTCTGCTGGTTGGTGTTGAGCAGGTAGCGTACAGTATGAGAGAAGCTTGAACACACAGACAGTGGTATCGATCTTCTCATCTCAGTCTTGAGAGCAAAACCTCAAACTATTCCTGTAGAAGTTTCCAACTGAAGATGATGATTTTTGCAGACTGATTGATGATAGTTTTGTTTTCTTTCTGCTCCAACTGTAACATGAACTGTAACTCCAACTGCAACTTTAACAATTCATGAATGTAGCACATGGTGGTAAAGTTAACGTGTGCTGCTTTGTGTTGTTTGTTAGTAACTTACACAATCTAATCCTAGGGCCTCTTCAAAGCACTAGTATGTACTGTAGCTACACTGCCTGCGGTCATGGTTGGGTTTATCTCATATGGGCATCTGGTTATCTTTGGGTGCTTACACAGAAAGTGTCTATGTCCTCTCTTTAACCTCCTTCCATGTCTGTCTGACTGTCTGACTAGAAGCTACAGTTTCTCAAAAATCCACTAGTTTCCATTCAGTTCACATTTATAATGACTGAACATCCCAGTTAGAGTTGTGATGGTGTGTTTGTGTGCCAGGAGGTTGATCAAATCCAACAACACGCTGTGTACTAAATATAGACTGTCACAGCTTTACTAGCTGTAAAGTTGTTTGATCTAAAATGCTCTTCGTTCTGTGTTGCAGTTATGGCCTGTTGGGGCCCAGTGGGTGTGGGAAGACCACACTCCTGAAATGCATCGTGGGAACTCTGAAAATCTCACGAGGTCACATCTCTGTGTTGGGGAAGCCACCTGCATTCCCTGGTCACGACGTGCCAGGGAGGAAGGTCGGATACATGCCACAGGTAAATACGACATCTTAGAATATATCTTTCACACATTAAAGGGTATATGTGTATTATGTTCATTCAAACCAAAAGGCCCTTGAAATAGTTGGAAAAGCTACACATTCCTGACATGTTCTTGTCTTAAATTCCATTAAGGATTAAGTAGTTTAATAGTCTTAAATATTGCTTTTTCCCAGTCAAATTCCTTCCTCTGTTCACATTAAGTCCAAATACTCACTCAGCTCCACATTTAAACCCTAAATTTGCCCAATGAAGGTTTTTTAGGAACCTGTCTTTCTTCTCCCCAACATTCACATCAAGGAGTTGTTAATTAGACCCTCAAATCTAAGTGCCTTGCTCAGGGGCTTCTTTCATTTAGCCTCTGTTGCAGTGAGTGACCTGTACCCGAGTGTCTCCCATTACTGTCAGACTGGATAACTGATGAGGCTGATAACACACATGGCCTGTGTCCTCCTGTGTGTAACCTGTACGTCGCATTGGTCCCTGTAGGACGTGATCTGTGACTCAGGGAGGAGGAAATGTGACACCTCTTCTGGTCCCCAGAGTGCAACTGTTGTACCGCTGTGGTGAACTTGGCTTTTGTTGTCTGATATATATATATATATATATATATATATATATATATTATTAATTTCCTGTTACAAAACAATGTGCACATGGACTATTATTTAAGCCCTTAATCCTTCAAGATTAAATGTTTTTCTAGAAATGTGGGCAGTAATCCTTTCACTGACGGAAGTACTCTAAGAAAATGGAAAGTCAAGGATCTCTGCATGACTGCTCAGAAGGCAGCAGTGCAGAGGCAGATCTGCAGGGTATAGAGTGAAGTAAAACAGATACTAATACTAAAGTAAATCTACTGTATTTATCTTTGGTTGTATTTGTCCTGGGCTGTGCTGGAACATTTCGTTTTTGTGGTGGAACAGTAGGTTATAATAAGAATTTAGTGATACACATTAGACATTTAATTTTTTTAGATCAATTTTAAAAAAAAGGAATAATAGAAGAGATGCCAGAAGACTAGGCCTGGGTACTGAAAGGCAGCACTGAATACCTTGTACAGCCGCTTGTGCTTAACATTAAACATTATATGTTTGTGGAGTAAAGTCAGGTACACGATGAAGGTCCATGCGGGGATCGAAAAGCTGCAGTAACTAAAAACAAATGCTTCTATCAAATATGAGTTTCAAGCAACACCTCTATTCACTGATAAATCTGTGACATCTGTGATAAAACAGCCACACTTCACAACCTTTTAAAACTTTGTCGATGTGTTTTGCAGGAGCTGGCGTTGTACAACGAGTTCACCATCGGTGACACCCTAACCTTCTTTGGCCGAATCCATGGCCTGACGTCGAAGGAAACCAAGGCACGCATGGATTTCCTCATTGACTTCCTGGATCTACCTCAGAAGCACAGCCTGGTCCGAAATCTCAGGTATAAACACATGTAGTAGCCGACAGAATGTGTTTAATATGAAGTGATTTGAAGTTTGAGTTTCTCCAAAGAGGTTAGTGCTTTGGATTCTGTATTCACACCGGAAGCTGTTTGTGGAAGCACTCATCTGAAGTTCTTTAATTTGCTGCAGGTGAACTTTGGACAACATTGTGAATCATTAGCCAATTGGACATCAGTATTGTTAGATTTTCAGCAATCTAATGATGGTGAAAGAATACTGATATGACTACTATCCTTTGTCCCTTTGTGCAGTTCTTTGCAGGAGGTAACTTAAGACTGTTTGTGCTTAGTGTAGGTGTTATATCCCAGGTGTGGTGAACTGAAGCCATATGCAGTATTTGCCTAGATACTGCCAATTTATGAAGTGAGCTAAAATGTGTTTTTATAGCTGTCTGCAGACGTGGACTTTGAAACCTGAATTAAATGAATTATTGTGCAAACACACACAAACATAATCCCTCTCTCCTACACAAACTGTAAACTGAACCCAATGTCCATAAAACAATATGGCTTTGTCTGGTAAGCAGACGAGCAAAGGTCAAATAAAGAGAGAGCATCCGTTTTTTTGCACACAGGCCCGAAATACAGTCACACACGGAGGGCTGATCAACATGCAAATGTGGAGAGATGGTGGAATGATGGGCCGCTTATCAGCACCCATGTAGCAGTGATGGGTTTGGTGCTTTGCTCAAGAGCGCTGTCGGCAATGCCCAGGAGAGGAACTGGCCCCCTCTCCAGCTACCATGCTGGACTCGAATTGGTGCCCATCTGGTTCCCTATGGACTGAACTAATGCTAGCTCCAATAATATGTAATATTAGTTTTTCTGAGTATTCCTGCCTTACAGTCATAGAGAAAATATTCTTCCTCAATATTGGATTTGTCTTTGTGTGCTCGGAAGGAATTTGGCCAGACCAGAGTACAAGATGAAAAATTAAGTGTAGGGTCTTAACGTTCCTCCTGTCTTCTGTTTTATTAGTTTAATTGTATCATTAAACTTTTTTGGAACAAGACATCACTTATAAGAAACAGATTTTGAGGGACTTTGTGACTAATAATTTGAATGATAAAGAAGTTTTACCTTATTTGTAGGCTAATAAATGACTTGACATGAACTTAGTGTCCCGTCAGTCTCAATCCGCCCAATCTGGCAACGCAGGTTTGCATTCTTTTGTGTAGGCATCAGGTCCACCTGTCTTTCAAAGTTTCATTTGAGGAAACATCATGTGAAGTTGCCAGTTTATTGCTGATTGTATGCTGTGTCGTTTATACTGTATGCTGTAAAGCAGTTCCTCTTTGTGCTGTGTTAATTTTTTTTTAGATATTAACCTGTACACCAAAATAAATGTCAGCAAGCAAGGATGTCAGTTTCCTCAAAGACCAACCAACAAGTCTGAGCTTTAACCAGTGACCTGTTTGGTAGAATAATATGTTTATCGTCCCATTGAACAACTAATCATATCTGCACAGCCTTGTTTGGTCAGTTCCTGCTGCTAGGATTTCTGGCAGGTCGTATTGTAGCTGTTTCGTTATAGAAGAAAAACTTTCTACTCAGCTGAACTTCCAACTATCAGCTGCACACATTCTTATTCTTTCCACAGAGGAAGATGCTGTACAAAGACCAAAAAGCCTCGTTACCAAGCCATAAAAGGAAACAATCAAGCAATACAAATTAAAAATAGAATATTTGGCATTAAACCAAAAATTTCCGTTGGATCTCTTTACTCCCTGTAAGATGTGAGAGAAAACTTGACAGTGTTGTTGCAATCTCTCAGGCACCGATAAAGATCAATAAAAGGGGTTTATAGCCCTTTTTTGATCCTGCGGTTATTGGAGGAAGAATAGTCAGCATCTCTTGTTTCAGCTCTTGAGTCACCTCCCTGACTCGTTACAAAGACCCTTCTGTTCCCAAAGAGGCCCCTCAAACAAGCTTTCATTAGCAGTTCATGTAATATTTATGTCCTGTGTGGTGTAACAGCCTGTCATGTTACTGAGCTGCAACTTAAACTCCTATATTTGCTGTAAAAACTTCGTGTTTTATTTCAGCATTATATTAAAGGTGGGTTGAATTAATGTGGTTTTTATTCACTTGTTCTGCTGCAGCTTTACGTGACACACAGGTTGTTGAAACTGTTCACAATACATAGTGTGAAAGATATTCCTGTATGAATGAACACACCATGTAGCGCGCATACTTCTTCATATCATTCTCTTTTATTTGGCTTTAATACAAGGTATGAGCAGTAAGCTAATTTGTGATACTTGATCTTTTTTTTATTAATATAAAAAATAAGAATATAAAAAATAAAATAAAGTAAATTTTTCAAAATGCCCCTTCCTCCCAAGTTCCCTCGTTCTCTTCTTCATTGTTTCCCTGCATGTTGTCAGGCAGGTTAGTCTTGCAGGTTTCCACACCACCTCCCTCAGGAGTGAGCGGCATGCATAGCGCCAAGGTGGATCATCAGTTACAAATCAACTAGGAATGTGGGAGAAGATTCACCTTTGTTGCCCAGTTTGTTTCTTTTTGTTTCCTCACCTGTTTCCTGTGTGTGTTACAGTGGTGGTCAGAAGCGCAGGGTGTCTCTGGGAGCGGCTCTGCTTCAGAATCCCGAGCTGCTCATCCTGGATGAACCGACAGTCGGAGTGGACCCCGTGCTCAGGGCTAAGTATGTAACACACACGCACACACACACACACACACACACACACACACACACACACACACACACACACACACACACACACACACACACACACACACACACACACACACACACACACACACAGCTGTTTCTTTCCACTGTGTCCTCCAACTTATGTCACTCTTGGAAACGTCCAGCCCCATAAGAACATTTGTCATTTTCTCACATCACCTAATAAAAACATACAAAACAAAATAGATTTACGTACATTTGATTTAACTTATTTATACCACTTAATGTTACAGGGGCAGTTTACAGTAATGTGCCACTTTATCCATCCTGGCTAATTTCCAACTGCAGTCTCTCTGGGCAGCTGTAATGACAACTACAAAAGACACAACAGCAGCAGAAATACTGTACATATAGCAGAGCACAACTCATTAAAAACACATAAATGATTTAAAAACAAGGACAACAAGACATAAAAAACGGTTATTTGAATAAGTTATGGTCACACGCTTGATCTTGACCTGATTTTAAATTAGCGATATGTGTTAAAATCTCTGATAAGTGTTGGCAGACTGTTCCATGTGTGAGCTGCTCTCACTGAAAACGCTGTCTGTCCTCCTCATACTATAAGTATTATATATTAACAATACTCTCAGTAGTAATTAACAACATGTAGGGAATTTAGTTGTAGGGTAGTCCTTACAATTCTTTCATTGCATTTGATGGCAGTTACATTATGAATTACACTGTAATGGCTGACAGTAAAAAGTAAGAGAAAACTTACTTAGACGAGGGTGACACATAACAAACATAACAGGATATGAAGTGACATTGTGTTAACTTGTTACTGAAACTACTGTAAGAGTGAGTGATATGGAGTCATGAGTAAAGAAATTAGACTTTATTTAGCAGGACCGGTTGAATAAGTTCAGAAGATTGCATCACTGTAATGTAAAATGTGTAACGTGATTAATCGATAACCAAATGCTCAGTAGAAATCTTTTATATCACAATATTGATATCATATCAATAGATTGCCTGTACTTACTATCAGGTAATCAAGATTACTTAACTGATAATGCAGTTGGCTGTACTTTCTCTTCAGATTGTTTGATAAGTCTTGCCTCTGTGTTTAGTACAAGTTCAAAATGGCCGGAAAATAAGAATGAGCTGTTTTTATCTTCAGAAGGAGCGGGTCCTCTTCTAAAGAGTCCGGCATGTTTCTACAGTAGCCCAGATTGGACAAACCAAACACCGGCTCTAGATGGGGCCTTTTTTGCGGCCACCATAGTTTCTCCTACATGCTTAGAACTTGAGGGTGAGGCTAGGGTGTTGCAATCAACAACTACACCGCTAAATGTTACTAAATCACACTGGACCTTTAACACACTCAGTCAGTATTGCAAATGTTGGAACCTCAAGTTTTCATGTTAGAGTTTGAACATTTTATACTAAATCCTTCAAAATGGCGTTTCTAAATTGGAAACATGGCTGGTGGCTTCCGTATAACAACTTCACAACAACTAACAATAACATTTATGCATATGTTCTGGAAAAGCAAGTCCAGAAACCTTTTTGAAAGCATGCTGCCCTCCCTCAGTGTTGTTCCAGTCTCATTGTGTAATAGCACCACAAAGCCTCATCAGATCAGATGGTTGGCAGCCAAACTACTGCTGGCAAAGCTATGAGCTTTTTCAGGCTACAATTTTAGGAAAAATCTATTAGCAAGCGGGTCAAGTGTTATGTAATTTGTTTCTTCCGTCTCCTTTCTAGGATTTGGCAGCATCTAGTGGAGATTGTGAAGACGGGGAAAGTGTCCATCATCATCACCACACACTACATAGAGGAGGCCAGGCAGGCCAATGTGGTGAGATAATTCATACATGCATGGACACACACACACAGAACCCACATGCATGTACATACACACACAAGGACAAATTAAGCATTAATAAACACTCACAAACAAGAATCAGGAATACTGCGACAAAATCTATGGAACAAAGCATCCACACTAGTCCCCATGTTTCACCGCTTCATAGAAAAACAATGATTCCATTGATAATTCGCACTGTGTAAACATGTTAGATGAAGTTTAGTCTTTATTAGCTTTGACAAGAGGGACAAAAGCTCTCACTGAATGGGAGTTTGTATAGAAGCTCTATTGTATCTTTATTTTACATTTTACTGACAAAACTAATTTCTTTTTGTATATAATTTGTTATTTTACTTTATGAATCCGTTTAAAGGATAAGCTTAAACTAAACCAACAATGACTTGATCCTACTAACCCATATCGTCTGTGTATCCTGATATATCTAATTCCGCTGTGTGACAGAGCTCCATTGTTTTCATTAAAAACACTTAAGTGAGCCACACCGTTGCACTGGATGACATTTTCCTTCATTATGATGAACATAATCACTGTATTTTATCACTCTCAGTCCCACTTTGTCCAGCTGCTGTAAATATTCGCTAGTCCCAAATATGTATTAATCCGCTACTGAAAACAGTCCCCAACGAATGCACAGTTTCTGTGTCCAGCTGTTTTAGGGAATCATTTTAACTTTTTTTCTTTTCAAATGAAATAATATATTTGTGAAGTATTTAAAAGATTAACATCTTCAGCAGCAAGTGTCACAAACAGGGTTGATGAGTCAGAGAGTGCTAACAGATAGACTAACACACCATTAGAAAAATATAGAATACTTCTAGCTTCATCCTTTAGTCCAGTCTGTGTAAAAATATATGTTTTGATGACATTGGTTTGCTTACTGTACATAGATATGAATGGTTAATTATTGTCATAATTTTGTCATAAAAATCAGAAAACTGAATTTGCAAAAAAATTAATTACCTGAAAGAAGTTTCTTGGCAATAATGGCATGATTTTTATCATCTGATCAAGGTGCAAAATGATAAACTGTCATTCAGTCAGTTTCAACACAGAGGGAGAACAGGCACTTTCTGGGTTCATTCACATACATACAGCCACATATTTCAGTCTTTATCATGTCAAATGACCACAGAATTATTTTCTACGGTATACGGTCACACACAAGAACACCATGGCCTCACACAGTACAAAGGACATACAGTGAGCCCATAGCCCCACATTTTTACAGTACATTTAACACCCATGTCACCTTCACTGCTGATCAAACTAATGTTTGGTTCAGCATAAATCCCGTCATTGTTTCACCAGTAATCTTCTTTGTATGAAAAGTCCATAAAGCCGAGTTTTACAGGTGTAAGTTTGTTCTGTTGATTAAAGGCCTTCCACATGCCACATTTGTTTTCTTTTTGTTGAAGGTAAAGTCCATCATCATTTTGGACCATTATCTTTCCACTGAGAGTTACTCTAGATCTCCCCTAGTTAGTCAACAAAAGAGGAGAAATGCGTCTCGCAGTATGTCCAAAGTTGTCTAAATAACATGTTTACATGGTTTTAACTGGCTTGGTAACATTAGCTATCGGCTAGCCTACAGAGCTGGAGGATGTGATGAAATTCTCTTTGAGAATTGGACTTTTTGTTGTAATGTTAACTAGCTGGTAATGGTCAGTAACAGTATTTTCTGTTTCTTTTACACATTTAAATATAGAATATATGACATGTGGGCGTTGAAGCTTAATGAAAGTGTTTGATTTAGGTTGAATAAGTTCATGAAAGTAATGTAACAGTGATGTCACTCATTATTTTTGCTGTTTAGTAATGAGAAATTACTTTTTCAATTAGTTAACTAACTGATGACTTGTATCTCGTTTGGTTAATCCATACACAATGGAAAACATAAAAACAATATGCTTGCAAGAGTCACTGTTTCCCCCTGCAACTACTCTTTATGCTAAGCTAAGCTAATCACCTTCTGGCTCTATCTCCATACTTAAGACACGAGAGTGGTATCAATCTTCTCGTCTAATTCTTGGCAAGAAAGCAAATAAGCTTATTTCCAAATATTTCAAACTATTCCTTTAAGAGCATATGGCCTTTTATTTTCTGTTCAGTTCTAATGAATTTAAGGAAACATGCAAAGGGTGAAAGGGTGAAAAGCTAAAATTTCACTTCTCTTCTGTTGCGCAGTGTGGGAGATAACTGTGTTAGGGAGGGTAGTAGATATAGGGACCTGAGTTAAGGGGTTGTGTTTTATGGCATGGAATGTCCTAATTTGCAGTTGGGGTCAACAGTAGGTCAAAGTAGACAAGGCCATGGAGAGACCTGGACTTGACATTAGTAAAATAAATAGGACAGACAGGGGTGTTCACTGTTTTATGATGTACTGAGATGGATATAAGGGAGAGCATTCTGGAGGACTAGAGAGAATACTTGTGATGTCTTCTCTCCATGCTGCATATAATAAAGTGTCTTGATTATCACACCGGCTCGAAAGTTCTTCAGAGACTTAGCACCTCTCAGTTTTGGGAAAGAATTTCCACGACAGCAGTAAGTCCCACACCACATGCCACAAACCAAACAGTTTCTCAAAGGCAACATGTTTACTTTTTCCAGTCAGGAAAGCTGCAATATTTGTTATGTAGCTGAACTAGCTCTAACCTCCTTACCGCAGCTGCTTTATCTCTCTATGCTGTGTATCTCCGTGTGGTTATCTAGTGTTAGGCTGAAAAATGTAATACTGGCCTTCTGATAAATTGGGAATATTAACACTACACCTGAAAAAAGTGTAAAACACCTGCACATCTTCTCTGTTTTCATTGATATTTTTAAGTTTCATGCACAATTTGCCAACTGTAATGTGTAATTCTGCCTTAGAGCGCTACTAAGTAGAATTTCTGAGTTTTAGTTGAGAATTTATTGTCCCATGGTGGTTTTCTGTTTAAGACTTAATTAATATTTGTCATGGTCTGATGTTAAGATGAAATACTTTCTCTTGGGGACTTCAAATGCTGCTTGAACTCCAGTCCGAACATGTTGAGCTGTGTGTGTGGTTTCCAGCTTTCTGTGCAAACTGAATCTCTTTCCTGTGAAACTGCATCAAAGTTTTTTTTAGGCTACACAAAAAACAGGTCCAAAGTCATTTTAGTTTCTTACTGATGCAGCTACATGTAAACATAGAGCCAGTAATTCTTCCCTAAAACCAGTCTGACTGCTCAGCTAGCCCAGTAATGTCCCCATTCAGGGTTAAATGATATGGGTAAAGTCAGAAGAGATCATAAAAAAACAAGTTTACTGTTATGTTGCTGGCTGCTTGCTTACATCTGTAATCCCTGTTATGATACCATTGCATCCCAGATGTGATCAAATCGATATGATAAAATGGCACACTTGGGGTGACACTTCTGTACAAACTAAACTTGAGGGGTCAAATCGTAACCGGCCTGTGTTTGCTCTGACTCCGCACCAAACGCTGTCTTCAGTGGCCTCCATATAGCTGCGTGTGTACTGATGTTTTTCACACACCGGTCAGTTCAGGACCATGACCTGTTCACACTAGAATCTGAAATGGGACACATTTTAAAAATAGTGTAAACAAAAAATTCTGATATGGGCAAAAGAATCAGAATTGAGCACTAAGTTATGTGAAGTGTGACTGTAGCCTTAGTGTTCATTGGACTATTCATGTACTCTAAATGGTTTGAGGGGGTAGGTGTGTATTGAAATTGAAGTTTTGATTTATGTTTAGGTGTCATGATATGTTATTGGATTTTTGAAGAGGATGAAATATGTCCTATCCATAAATAAACACAAATAAACACATTGTTGTTTTAAAAAGACCTGTTGCCTATAAATAAGACTTGAACAAATATTCTCTCCAAACACTTCTCCAGGTCGGTCTCATGAGGAACGGCTGTTTGCTGGCTGAAGGTCCTCCAGACGCAGTCATGAAGCAGCACAGTGCAACAGTGAGTACTCGTTAAAAACACTCATGGGATGTATGGACACCCATGGGTGCTGTTAGTCAGGGCAGGGAGGCTGTTCATGAAGCAATACTGTAGCACACTTCATCATCAACCAAGGCAATTAAAGGTGCCTTATATTCAGTATTAATAAGGATAAGTAATAGGAAGGCACATCTCATCTTCAACTACAACAACAACAACAAAAAAACAATTCATGGCTAAAGTATTGACCATATTTTCCTGCTGTGTGTACATACTGTATTTTGGTAGTGGTACCCATTCACCCACATTATCTTCTGCTGCAGACCCTGGAGCAAGCCTTCCTTCAGCTGTGTGAGACGTCGGACCAGATCGACTCAAAGCGGGAGTCCAGTCCGCAGGGTGGGCCGTTGGAGAACAGCCAATCATTCGAGAGTGGGCGGGACGAGAGTCGGCCAATTCTCACGGTCGGACCAGGAGCCGCAGAGGAAACTCCCAAATATTCAGGTGCTACTTTGAAACAGCCGGTACTGATGCCATTTCATTTTAGTTCCAAAACACCAAATGTGACCATTATCTGAAGTCATTATTGCAGTGTTTATTATCAATACATCTCTTCATACGCTGTAGTAGTTCAGGGCATAAAAGGTATTAAAATGGTTATAGAGAGGGACCTTCATTTTGGTAAGAGGAAGGTTTAGATTCAATTCTAGGCTCAAGTACCTCAGATTTGTACAGTACTCGAGTAAATGTACCAGTTGGTTTCTACCACTAAAGTTACTATTTGTTTGTTGTGTGTGTTCAGCGGACTGGAAGGTGCGAGCCAGACACCTGCTGCCAAAGTGGAGAAACATCGCCGCCCTGATGATCAAAACAATGGTGCGGATGAAGAGAATGCCAGGGTATGTTGTAGTAAATAGTATCTATTAGTAATATTTAGTAATTTATTAAGTTACAATGAGCAACATATTAGTGCAGCATTACTGACTGCTACTCTCTCCCCCTGTGTTTGCAGCTCGTTGTGTTTCCAGTTCTTGCTGCCCGTCATCCAGGTCTCTCTTATCTGTTTGTGTGTCGGAGGAGACCCAAAGGGAATCCAGGTTGCTGTGGTGAACAACGAGACCTCCCCCTCCGCTTACAGCAGATCACTGCTCTCCTTCCTGGACAACTCCAGCGTGCAGCAGGTATTCATTTAACTGTGGGAGACATTTATAACACACATATCAGGCATGATCACACCCTCATGTTTTCACAACCAAAACAGGAAGTAGGCAGTTTCTTTATGTATTAAAAAGTTGTTGGTTTTTTTCTTTGTAGCAGATATATTTACTGTGAATCTCTCAGTAGATTCTGGTTTACTTTCTTTTGTTGATTGATTATCACAATGCATGACAGATTGCTACGTTAACTATTCACCAGATTGTTTGTTTAGTGGCTCACTGAATTAGAACATTTTGTCCCAGAGCTCAGAGTGACTGAAATCTGTTCCGTCCTTCAGAAAGAAAATAACAGGCCTCTCACAGTTTCTGTATTTAACAAGTTTCACTTCTATTCACATTCAAACAAACCCTAAGACTTGAATTCTCTAGGAAACCGGTGAAAGGTTGTTTCTCTGTGTGTAAAGTGGTGTTCACTTATTTATTATCTATATCTATTATGATTATAAATAAATGAGAAATATTTCTCTTCTCTGTCATTAAAATGTAATCTCTCTTGTGTAGCTGCTCAATAACAAACATTAGAAGCTTTGATTGTGTTTCACTGGATACAAATGTCACTGAAGCGAAGGATGGCCAGTCAGCATGTACTTTATATAATAAGATTAAATTGAATTGTGTCTGTTCTTTATATGTCCATAGGTGCCCTTGTCCCATAAAGATGCTTTCGATGGGATCTATAACGGAGAGTACTGGGGTGTCATCGGCTTTGGCGAGAATTTCACCAGCTACCTGACAAAAAGGTTAGGGTAACACAGAGAGCGAGTTATTTTTTATGCTCCAGTCATCAGCTTATCCATCATTTCATAATGAATCAATGAATGCCAAAAAAAGCCTTGCACCACGCCAGGTTGCTGATGGCGTGCATGTGACACTATAAGCTCGTCTGTGCACCAGTTCATGTTGAAGTGGTTGGTCTGCCAACATCAGCAGAGAGCAAAACACGTCTACATTAGTACAAAACACAAACAGGAACTCTTGCATTGTGCCCGCTGACTTGCACATAATATGTGAATTGTCCGAGTGGAGTTAAAAAAAAAGGGACTCAAGTGATCAACACAGCAAGACATTCATGACTGAATCGATATGACAGTTGTTAGACATGTAGTAGAAGAACAAATCAAAGGAGATGTCTGACTGTGTTGCTGCCTGCTGTACCGGCCTGCGCATTAAACTTGGAGCTCACACTTGTGTCATGGACAAATTTCAGTTGGTCCACATGGTGTAAAGTAGATGCTGAATGTCACATGTTGCTTTTGAGGTATAAAGATGGTAAGAAGTCCAGCATTTTGTTCAAAGCAGCAGTGTAAAGAGATACTCGGCGTGTGCACAGATTTAACAAAACTACTGTGGCGTGCATGAGTTCAACACATGCAAATACGGAAAACTCAAACAAATACAGAAACGCAAAGTAGCACAGACAACAACGGAAAACGTTCCCAGGGAACTCTAAAAACTGATGAACACAATTGGGCCACCAAATAAACTCACAATTTGCTAATTTTCTAACACCACTTGCAGATAGCCAACTTCAGTGACTTCTTGAGTCACAAACCACCGCAACAACAAGCGTGTCCCAGCCATGTACATCACTTTTTAGTGTCCCCTGGAAACAGTTTTGCTGTCTGTGCCACTTGCAGCGTTTCTGTATTTGGTCGTTTTCTCTCTGCACGTGTTGTCTAGCTCTCCGGGCCACCATACTAAACACTGTCAAAACAAATGCACAACTTGGATTTTTGAGCAAGTCTGCATGTGAATGAAAAAAAAAAACTCTTTGTGATAATATTTAAAAAAATTAAGTTCCAGAAGCTAGTGTGACCTGTTTATAACCTGACATGATTCGACCCCCTACATGCTTTACCTTCCTCATCTTTTGATAGATGTCATAGCACAGATGATGTTATGCACGTGCAGTGCCAATGCTGATTACAGAAGGCTGTGTTTGTGTGCGTCAAAAGGGATTTTTTAGTAGTCATACAAAACCCACAGCAAAGCAGGCCAACTCCATCCAAATGCCAGTGTGATGCACAGACAGCATTCCAGCAGAGCAGAGACAAACTGATCACACAGGGAAACATGATGAACACACTCACTCTTAACCTCACTGCGCACAGATCTTGACCATTTCATGCAGATGTAAAGCCTTTATGCCTTCATTATTATGAATTTAAATGCAGCATCACCATCACATAACTTACACTGTGGTACATGCATGAGGTCAAGTTCATGGGTTCGAGCTTTTTCAACTATTGGGTGGATTGTCATTTGAGACAAACATTCATGTTCCCCTCAGGGTGAATTGGAATAATTTGGGTGATCTCATGACTTTCTATATAGCACCATCATCAGGTCAAACATTTAATTTGTCCTAAATACATTCCCATCAGCCCCAGCTGTTCTCTGTGTTTAGAGCCAATTAGCAAATGTTAGCATGCTTACTACTACCTACTTAACATTAGCATGTTAACATTGTCACTGTGAGCATTTAAGCGTGCAGAGCACTCAATGTGTAGCCACACAGAGCCACTTGCTTTCCCTATAAACACAAATGGGGAGTGGCAATGTCTTCAGTCACTCTTTGACATGTAGCAGTGTATAAAATCCATTAAAGAAGAATCCAGGGTCTGATTGACAGAGAATGAGGAGGTTTCCATCAAGTAGAAATTATGTTATCAGCTGCAACTTATCCAGCTAATACACTGCAGCATCAGACATTTCAGAAAGGTACCTTGTTCTGGATTTATGCAAATCTGGTGAGGAGTACTGGGGGCTTTAATGGGACACAAGTTGATGTACATGAAGGCCATCTATCTAAGATGTATCTTACACTTACCTGGGTTCAGATACAGCAAGTTTGATGCAGACAGTAATGAACTTGCTGGTGAGTATAATATTTAACAAGCGTTAAAAAATGGTTGACTAGGTAAAAGATTTCATCATGGGACTCTTACTACTTTATTATTATTACTTGCACTCTTTATTGCTCTAACTCTCTCTCTCTCTCTCTCTCTCTCTCTCTCTCACTCCCTGTCTGTCTTTAACGCACATAAACACACACAGAAACCACACCAACACCAACTCACACCTCAGAATTGTCATCATGTGAGGATGAGTCAACCCTGGAGGGCAATGGGCATGTGTTGTTGCTTTGGGTGTGAATCACATTCTGCGTGTATTTGTGTGTTTGTAATACCTGGGCAGACAGTCTGGTCCTTCCTGTCCCTGACACACCTGCCAGGTCACAGCTTAGCATCGACCAATCAAACGTACATTCCTACTGAATCATGTGCCGTTCATGTGACAGACCTGCCTGTGGAAAACAAGAGGTGTCTTCTCCTGGGTCTGTCATGTGGAAATAAACAGTTTGAGTTATATTCTGGCTGATTCTCTAATTAGATCAGATGTGATTTCATGAGGTGAAAGGTTTGCATCTATTCATTGTCTATTAATTATTGTGTGGACAAGGCATGATGGGTAATGCAAACCTACCTTGTAATATATTGAGGAAAATTCAACTATTATTCATTATTAAGAGAAAAAAGCTTCGCAGATGAGAGGATTTGCCGCTTTTCTTTGTCTTATGTGATTTGAACTTTTGGACTGCTAGTTGGAAAAAAACACGCAATTTAAAGACTTGTTAGAGGCACTATTTTTATAACATTTTATAGACAAAATGACTGATTAATCAAGAAAATAACAATAAGATGAATTGATAATGAAATCATTAGTTGCAGCATTGCAGTTCTGTTTGCTTAAAGGAGCTGAAACCTCAACTTTTCTGGCTAAATGCCATTAGCCTGCAAAGTAAGTCTGTCTGGTTGTAGACTTCCTACATACACAAACACTGGAACAGGACACGGTGGTTATTGCAAAGATATTTAAGGGTTTGTAACAGATTAGGGGAGGAAAGCAAGAAACAATTACAATCCACTTCCACTGAAGCAGGAAGAAACTCGAAGCCTGGCTTCACCTTTTAAACAAAGTTAAATTTACTTAATTGCATGAATTATAATATCCTCAATGTCACAGCAAGGCCAAAGGCATTGCTTTTTTTGATTTCAGGGAAGTAATAAGCCTAACTAACCTTCCAAGTTTTGTTTAGATCAGTGATACCAGCCTATAGTCACGTAGATTTGTGACCTAATTAGTTTTGCTTCTAATTAGCTTTGAGGTCACACTGTCACGGATGAATTCATAATAAAAAAGGAGCACTTTAGAGTTTGTGGGTTACCCTACATGCTTCCAAAAGCTGCTATTTCTTATTTAGTTCAAACCCTAACTGTTCCCTCTTTGCTTACATGAAGATTTATGTTTGAGTCAAACCTTCATATAGGAATATAAGTGAATGCCAAAATAGATCCCCAGTGAAAAAGTACAGTGTTTTGCCCCTTTAATCGTCACATGCTCTCATACATCTCTGTCTACTGATTTCATCTCTAGTAATCTATCTCGTACCTGTAAAAAGCTTGTGTTGTGCACATCAGTAAATTGGCATCTTCAGCATTTCATTTTTTGCTTCTATTGCAACATTTACATTCCAGTTTTATTGATTGTTGCTGACGGTTGAATATATTTGCAAACTCAGGGAGGTTTTTTTCAGATTGTGACCATGTGCCTGACTTTACAGGATGATTCAGCGGCAGGTTTCTAGAGAGGTGGTTGATGGAGGATCACTACACGTCTGGCTGGACCTGACAAGTAAGATGGAAAACCTTCTCGTAGTTTGTAGTCTTTTTGCTTAAAAGGGTCCATTTAAAGAAGTTTATAACTGAAGTAATATTCTACTGTGAGTTTTCTGAGATTTCTTCATTATCTACTGTTAATCTGAGACGGAGAAGTTGTTCATTTTTGCTGTTTATGTGTTGTCTAGATCGACAAATTGCTGTTATGCTGCAGAAGAAACTACATGAGGCCTTTCAGGTTTGTTTGTGCGAATATTCAGATGTTGTCATGCTGTGAAGGAGAGCTACCATCAAAAGATGTTCAGCACATACAGAAAATTCAGATCTGAAGACATCTGATGTTTAATTTAGACTCAAACTTAACACACTTGGCTCAGCACTCTTGCTTAATCAATATTGATATTGTATATTGATGTTCAAGGCACTTAACTGTTTTTTACGATTATGTATTACACAAAACCTTTTTTCTTTTCATCACATCATGATTACACTGAACACTGAATCACTGAATGATGCCCTAATGTAAGTTACAATCTGCCATGCAACATCCTTATACTGTTCGAACTTGTTAAGATTGTTACTCTGTCATCTCTTGCAGGCTTTTGTGGATAATAAGTTGGGCAGGATGTCGTATCTGGTCTCCCTGCCAATAAAGGTAAAATAATATAATAATAATAGATTCAATAAATGAGTGTAATTACAACATAAGAAAGAGAAAACCCTGATTATGTTTCAATCTTAAATGAGAAAGTACTTTACCAACAAGATGACAACAGTACATAAGTGCTGCTGATGCTACTTGCTGTATAATACAGTTCATTCCAATCTTTTGTTGCTGTCGTCTTTCAGTTTGAAGAACCGATCTATGGCAGCCAAAACACAGATTTCACCACGTTTGTGACACCTGGAGCTGTCCTCAGGTCAGTGGGCTGGATGATGTAATATTAAGTTAGATAGCCGTTATCAACCTATACATATTGAACAAAACCTTTTATTTACTTTTCACTCTCCTCTTGTTCATGTATGTACAGTGGTTTTAAGAGGGAATGTTTGAGATTGTATTAAAACACATGTCGCTGATGATAAATAGTCTTATATGGTGGAAACATTTGATGATCACGTATCTTTTCTCAGTAACCCCGGTGGATTGAACCAACAATTTACCTACACGTCAACCTGACATTGAACTTCCAGTTTGTTTCTCTCTTCCTCCTCTTCCTCTTCCTCTTCCTCTTCCTCTTCCTCTCTGGCCCTCCAGTATCACCTTCTACCTGGCCGTGGGTCTGACAGCTCTCTCCTTTGTCCTGGAGAGGAAGGAGGGGCTTTTGGACAGATGCTGGGTTGCAGGTGAGAGGTCAAAGTTCACACTTCTCCTACAGTTCCACACAAACATAAAAGTCCCATTTCCCATTTCTCTTACTACTATTGTACTTACTAATTCTATGCAGGTTTTTATGGTTCTGTGCATTTAAACCGTGAAGAGTGAGAAAATGAAGTATGAACACTGAAACTGCAATGTAATGTTCCTAGTATCCTATAACAATTAGTATATTGTACATACTGTGTACATTTAGTGTGTTCCCAAAGTAGAAGACTTTAGTTTGACTGAAATAAATATTTAAGGTCACTTATTACTGCTCAAATGTGCAATTTAGCACTTTCTAGCTTTATAGAAGGGAAAAAATTAAACACAAAAGACGGAAAAGGAAAAGATAGCAAAATGACCAGCAAAAAGAAAGAAAGCAAGAAAGCAAAAAAGATTTGCTCTTAATCTTTAGATTAGTTTAAATCCTTTGACCGTAGGCAAAAAAGTTCGTGCTAGACATTTAATAAAATAACATGAACCTCACAGTGTGTCATTTGAATGTAATTTGAGATATGACCAGAAGGGGGAGTAATATGATCAGAGATTAGGAAGCAAACACACCGGGGGAGTTGTTTGGGGGTTTCTTTTTTACTCATAATGAATTATTGATTTTATAGCTTTAAAAGGACTAATAACTTAACAGGGAGCTGTAAATTGTATTGTTATCATCAAAAATTAATTTTCTTTTGTCTTTGTTATAGCCATTTAGATTCAGATCAGACTGAATGAACCTGTGTTAATGTCGATTTACTTCAGATATCAGAACTTATAAGTGAATAATAACGCATTGTGTGTGTCTCTCTCTCTCTCTCTCTCTCTCTCTCTCTCTCTCTCTCTCTCTCTCTCTCTCTGTGTGTCTATGTCTCTCTACCAGGTGTGAGCTCTCTGGAGACGATGCTGGCTCACCTCTTCTCTCAGCTGTTTGTCATCAGCGTTCAGATCCTCCTGCTGCTCCTCTTCATACTGCTCGTCTTCAAGGTTTGTCCTCCTGATGCAGGCAATAAAACCGACACTGACAAACGCAAACACTCTTCAGATAAGATGAGGCTTTATTGATTGGGGAAGCGGGTCTTTACAGCAGCAAAATCAAGACAGCAGCTAAAACAAGACCTGCAGGGAAGAAAGTAACAGCGGGAAAAGATAGACTAAGTAATAAAACAACCAATAGAAATACAGGTTTGATTATACTGTACAAACAAAGCTGACTGTTCCAGTCTCACCTCGCTGGTGAGGATCAATCCTGTTTACAACACTGTCAATGTGAAAGTCTTGAGTCTTGAGGTAGACACACATGATAATATTTCCTGTTCTATTTAAGTTGCTGTTTAAGCCATTTTCTTGAGACTGGAAGGCTCATAAAAGGAGTCGAAATCCCCTTAAAAAGTCACGGCGTTCCTAATATGATTTGGTTTGTGGAGAGTTCGACATGCTGAAGGTTAATGTGTCACAAACCCTGCAGGTCTGTTACCCTGCTCATTTGCATTTTTACCACATTGCAAAAATCAGATTTTACGGTACAGCGCATTAGAGGCATAATTATGCAGACTTTTATTTTACAAGATCATGTTGTGTCATTCTAAAATTTGCTATAAAATGTACATGTGACAGTGTGTGAGAGGAAATAAATCTTGGTGTGTGAGTCCATCGGAGTCTGAAGGTCAGCAGGGTCACGTTTACTGTGTGAACAACGAATCAGTGGGAACGTGGGTATTCTGTCGAATCATTGATTTTCAATAGACATGTGTGTAGGATCAATACAGGGAGAAGGCACACAGACAAGAGATGATAGATATAATTTGTGTGTGTGTGTGTGTGTGTTCTGTTTGCTTCTGTATCTGTGCGTTCAGTCCATGTAGGCACATGCTTTTTATGGGTGTGTGCTCTCGTCTCTCTGTCTGTCAGTGTGTGTGTGTGTGTGTGTGTGTGTGTGTGTGTGTGTGTGTGTGTGTTAATTGAGGTGCTGAAGTCCAAAGAGACCACCACTGCATAAATCACTTCCAGCATTGGCTATATACAGGGATCGCTGTGGGATCGCCACGACAACAGCCCTTGATTGCTGTGGCAACCGAGTAGTCATGTGGCCTCTCGGTGCAGGTCTATTTTTGCACGTTGTCAGGGGAGACGGATAGTGTCTTAACACACTGAGGACAAGTGCACCAACACACACACACACACACACACACACACACACACACACACACACACACACACACACACACACACACACACACCAGGAGACTCTTACAAATGCCTGCAGATTCTCCTCAAGTTTGGAGAGTTATCACCTTGAATCTTCGGAGCTGAGACTTTTCTCTCTGTTTTTGTTTGATTTTGAATAGTTTAATGTCCTGTGCAAGGCCTCCACTCTGCTTACACTCCCCTCTGTCTGTGTGATTCACAACTAAACTTAATCAGCAGTGGCATTTCTTTCCATTTCTTGTAGTGTTTTTGGCTAAAGATCAGTGCAGAACATCAGAGTGTTTCTGTCTCTGAAGGTTTCTCCCTTGTTCCCTTTATGTCCATTTGTCTTGATCTTATCTTCTCATCTGTTCTCATATTCCTTAAATGAGCACTCCACTAATTTAGCATCGCACTCCCATAATGTTGTCGGACAGTTTAAACAAAGGGATCAAGATGTGATGCAGCCAAACCAGATATATAGTCCTTTATATCCCAGTTTTTACATACATAGAGTTTGGTCAGAGAAGCAGTTAAGTTAGATGAAGAGCAGGCTACAGAGGTCTGGTGAGCTCACTTGTTTCTGGCTCCACTCCCCCAGTTTTTGTCCAGACTTGTAGTCTTCAGCGGCAACCGGTGCTGACTCGAGTGACATCACTTGAGGCACTCTATCAGTTTTAATGCAGCTGCCTCCACAATCACAAATTGCTTTATTCAACTATTTTTCTCATATGCAGTAATACTCCCCATTGCCAGGAAATAGACTTTAGTGAAGTTCGCCTTAAGGATTTACAAAATGTATTCCAAGTGGATACAGAAAACTATGAGAAATTTGTCAAACATGGTCTGACTTTGAAATGAGAGCAATCTTTAAATTGTATATTATAGAGTGTAGAATTTGCTGCTGTGTATTGAAAAATGGAGAAATACCATTTTCATCCATTCTAAAAAGTTGGCTGTAACACTGTATATTTCGTATTTATATTATTGTTATTGTTTATATTTCGTGCCAGTAACAATCATTTATATGACACTCTTTATCTCACTTTCTTAACCAGTTTATTACATTTTTAGGTCCACTGCAGCTTTGTGAACCTAACTTGATTGAACTTGTCTTAGTCTGTTATCTCTTCTCACTCTTCTACCCCCATCTTTCACTCTCTCTCTCTGCAGATACCTAATGAAGGATCCTTGGTGCTGGTCATAATTCTGATTGTGCTGCAGGGCGTCACTGGCATCTCGTTTGGCCTCGTAATCTCAGCCGCAATCGACGACGAGCAGAGTGCCAACCAGGCTGCCCTGGGGATCTTCTACCCCAACCTCATCATCAGCGGTAGGCCTTGCTGGACCATTATTCAACCAGGAAAACTGATTATAACTTCTTTGATGTCGTTGTGAACTGGATGTGTGTTGGTAGAGTATATGAATATTTGTTGGGTTGGTTGACACCACCAAAACTCTTCAGGAAGACTGGATTGTGTAGTTCATGGTTTAACAATGAAGACAACAACCACAATCTTGCACTATGTCTATATCATGTGTTTTGCTAATGATTTGATGTGGTCGACCCCCGTAGGGCAGAAATTATTACTACTGGGCATTTCAGTCAGCACTCCTTCAAAGTACTCAGGAAAAAAAGGCAAATCTGAACTAGTCAACTGGTGATGAAGATCATGCGATTGCATTCCTGAGAGCATTTTCTCAACTGTTTCCAGGCTGTTGTTTTTCATGTTATTTTCTGTTGCCACTTATTCATTTCCTTCTCTGCTTTGGATGGTTCAAGTAAAACAGAAACCAGATATTGTTGAAATGCTTTATGTGGTTCATTATTAGCATAGAACAGCCAGTTAAAGACTGTATGTTAACAGCAGGTGTAAATGACGTCTTACGCAGTATCCTCTCTGTTCTGTACTGTAGGTATCATCTGGCCTGTGGAGTGTATCCCATATCCTCTGCGCTACATCAGCCTGGCTCTTCCTCAGACCTACGCCTCAGAAGCCCTTCGATGTATCATGTACAGAGGTAATGTACTCACGCATGTTACACAACACTCATTAGTTCCATAATGTTTTGGTTATTGGTGTGTAGTTAACGTGTGTTAGAGTCAGACGCATGCACATGGCTTAGACAACGTAGCCAGTGTAACGGCCAGTCGTCTAAATCATTAATCAGCTCTGGATCCTGTGTAATTCAGCTTCCTGGAATGTAAGGTATAAGGGTTTCGCTCCGTGTCCCAATCCTTCTCCTTCTCTTGACCTCATCGTCTCTGAACAATAAGACCTGATGACGGCCCAGAGCTCCCTCCATGTCACATGATACGTGCCAAGCACAGGAAGTCAGAGGAGCTATTTCCTGTTTGAAAGCCTTATCGTAGAGGTGCAGTGGAAGATGAGACACAGGCAGGGGTCGACAGTGTCAGGATTCAATTCTTTGGATGAACTGAAACTTCTTTGCAAGTGTGTCCTGCCAAATTCACGGATTGTATTCATTTGAACTATATCTCTTATATCCATGTTTTGCTTGCATGCATTCACTACAGCCTGGATAAACTCGTATCCAGATAATAAGAACGTGATGAGTGTGAGTTATATTAGCTGTGTTGGATTTGGTTTAGAGGTTTTTGTCTAGACAGAGCAAGCTGTTTCCCATTGTTTCCAGCCTCTGTGCCAAGCTAATCTAACTTATTTTACAAAATGTTAAACTGTTGCTTTATGACTGTATTTTATTTTGGAGTTCTTGTGTGGCTGCTTGTGTTTAGACAATAACTGACCCTTTTTGCTCTGTGCTCCAATACCTTTCCTGTGCTTAGATATGCTATGTGCTAGGCTCGTCTATGTTGAAAGAAAAACCCAATAAATTTAGAAGATGGTTTAAAAAAAATTCAATTTTCGAAATTTCAAAAAGTAGTTGCCTTTCAACATAGACGAGCGTAGCACATAACAAATAAGTACAGGAAAGGAGTTCCAAAAGAGGCGGGACTTAGATAGGGTCAATTACCATTTGACAAGCAACAACAAACAGTTTACACACATATATAAACATAAATATTTCCAACAGGTTGGGGTCTGTCTCGGATGATGGTGTGGCGAGGCTTCGCAGTCACCCTGGGCTGGAACACCTTCTTCATCGTCCTGGCCACGGTCATCTTAAAGCTGAGGACATGACCGCCTCGACCCGGAGAACCTTCTTCAGAGTGTGGACTGAGCTGAAGCCCAGGAGCCAGTGACTCACCTGGGCCTCCTGTGTGTGGATGGACTGGGGCAGCAGGGAGCCGGAGGAGGGAGGGATCACTGTGGTTTAATGGACTGATGGGGTTGAATCATCAGTCTCCCTCCTCAAAATGATCTGTCCCACACACACACACACACACACACACACACACACACACACACACACACACACACACACACACACACACACACACACACACACACACCAGTCAGCTGCCTGATCCTGCAACAGTTGCTTTGGCCTCTTCAAGCGCGAGTGAAATTTCGAAATGCTGCACATACAAGACAGAATATACACATGCACAACAGGAGGATATTTGGGGATAGTGTGTAGTCTTACAGTTTCTTTCACTTCTATGTGCAGCTTGTTTTACACTTTTCACCCCCAGAATAGGCCATGTACCAACTCAGGGTCACTTTGTTTCTGTTTGCCCTTGGTCTTAATGCTAATAGAGAGATTTTGTGGTGAATATACTGACCATGACTGTAGGACAGTGGCTTTGTCCATACAGTGTTTGTTGTTTACCTTAAAATTGCATTATAGAGAAATTATATATATATGTAAATGTAAACTTTTAAATATCAGCACAAGAAGAAAATGTGAAATTGTATTTTTGTTTTTCAGTTGTTTGACAAGCAGAAAAATTGAGAAGAGGATTGTTGTTATGTTGTTGGATCCCAGAATAGGATTTAAAATGCAGATCGCTTTGTTTTGTCCAGGAGATTCTCACCCACTCCGGCTTGCCACAGCAACAGTATCTTCTCTAGTTGCTTGCTTGTTATGTCTTTATTTGGAATTACATCCTGTCTGGTGTGTGACAGGAAGTGTGACCAGGTGCTCACCATCATTGTTGTTCTCACTTCAGGTTGATGGTGTCCTCTATAACTTGTGTTTTGTGCCTGCATCAGCTGTGGGAGGAAAACAAGTGGGGTTTGATGTTGGTGATGGGAAAGTATTGGTACTGTATTTTATTTTATTTTTATTATTCTCCACTTTGCTGGACAGAGTGGAGGCTGTTGGATCGATTCTTCTCACAGGTCAGATGTGTCATGCTCCTCAAGCCGTCTGCATCCATAGAAATTTGTTATATTTTTTACACAAAAGTTCCTTCTTCCACCAACAATAACAAAGAACAAAAGCACAGAGTAATGCCTATTTTGGATGTCATGGAGAGGTGCCTTTGGGATGCTGTGGTGTCGGCATTGTGAGAAAAGGGAAGAAAAATTTAGAAATTTGAAGAAATTTTGAAAGGTGGGAAACAAAAGCTTGATTTTCCTTCTTTATCGTTTTCAAATAGTCAGAAATGAAGGCTACATTTTAAAATGACTCTTTAGGGTTCTTTAATTTTGTATTACTGGATATTTTTTAACCATACAACATAATTATTATTATTTTGTTCTTAAACAGTATCTTGTTAGTATCTAAAACAATCTTTAGATTGTGAGATATGTTTCTCAAAATAAGTGAGATTTGTCATTTTGAAACACATGAAACAACATGTTGAAATAATGAAGGATATTGTAGGAGAGGCTAATTACTAGAAAAGATAACTTTAACTGTTAATAATAAATTATATCCAGTTCCTCTTTTTTGGCATTTTACTCATCTCGTTGAAGACAGAAAACACACTGATCTCTAAATCGCTCTCAGACTGCATTTGGAAAATATGCATATTTATCTCCTTGCCAAGAGTTAGATGAGAAGATTAATACCTCCCTCATGTCTATGTGGTAACTATAAAGCTTAAACAAATTAAACTGATGAAATATATAATATATAAATTAATGAGTTCATAAATTGATAGTAGGCTAGCTGTTTCCTCCTGTTCCAGTCTTTTTGCTAAGCTAACTGGCTGCTGGTTGTAGCTTCATATTTATCGTACAGGCATGAAGATGGTATCATCTCATCTAACGTTTGTCAAGAAAGCAATTTCTCTAAATTGAAGACATATGACTCAGTCCAGCATCACATGTTGTGCCAATCTCATAAATTTATAATTGTTTACATTTATTTAGCATGCCTAACAAATCTGAATAATTTTTTAATAGATGTTTTACACCGTTCGGCTGTAGGACTAAACACATATACCAGCATGAGTTGTGTTTAGATGTGTTGTGAATCTCTATCTCGTAGCCACGATGCTATGTGTTGCAGTGCTGGTAATACCAGTTATATTAATGTAATGAAGAATTTATGTATCCATTTACAGGATAAATAATGAATATAAATGACTGCAAATGCATCTGATTGAATTGCGTTGGTTACGTCGTGGTCTGATGGTATAGATGTGCAGTATGCTGTGTGTGATGTTAGATGTTGAATCTTTAGGAGAGAGTTCCCTGCACTGTTAATCTGCTGTTGCTCTGTGTTCCTTTTGCACATTTTAAGGGACATTGTGCTCCTGTTTGGTGGAAATAGGGGAGCAGTCACCTCTTGCTCTTATGGAAACAACTTTTTATCATGTTCAGATGATACCAACATGCTCCACTGTATTTTGCCAAACTGTGAGGATCTACTGTAGCTCTGTTTATATTCTTACCTTGACAGAAAGCTGAAGATGTATCCCACATCTTGGTGGGATTACCTCCGTGCCTCACTCGACCCTCATCACTCTATAATGTATGTTTATAAAATAAGTTTAAAATGGTGGACGATCTCTGCTAAAATTGGTACCGCTTATGTGAAAGTATGGACATTATTTAGTAATATTGCGATTACATTTTTATATTTTCTTTGACAATTTCTGGAAGATTGGGGTATTATTGCTAAAAGCTGTGTTAAATCTGTTTAAGATGGTCATGTGCTGATTTTTGTTCCAAAGTGCTCTATATCCATTTTCGAGGATTAACCTTTTGTTCACTATTTTGTCAGAAATCTACCTGCAAAACCAGCCAACCACTAGGTAAAAGCAAGCATCTTGGAGCAAAACCTCTCATGTACAAAGCATTTCACAAGATTTACATGAACTGCAATTCTACTGCTGAAGACAGCGTTCAAACAAGCTGATTCCCTGAGTTCTTATTGAACTCTTCCACTCCTGTATTGCTTCTATAATGCTCCGTAGCGGAGTCTCATGAATGACTAAGGATGCGCTCTCTGTGTGATTCATGTCTGTTTGGTTTTATCTGTGGTTTGAAGTGGGCGGGACTCTTGGAAATGGGATGTCACAATATGTGCAGCAATCAGACTTCTCAATCAAATCTGATCAAATCACACCCACACAGTCCCGATGAAGCAGATTATCTCAGTTTTTGAGTGTTAAACTCTTTGGGTCTATTTGAGTATTTAAGGTAAAAACTAGTTTAAAATGCTCATTAATTAAAACTGAAGTACTTAATATGCCCTACTTTAATATTTTCTTCAACTACAGCCTTATTCAGATTAAGGTAATCATCACTGTAGCCACTTCTTATTCAGATTTTTTACTTTATCAGGTTAATATTGGGATATTGCAGTTCATGTAAACATGTTATGAAGGTTTGTGTTGTTTTCCACTCTGCTCTAAACTCGAGCCGACTACCTCCGCCGTCTTTCCCCAAAGGGCATGTAGAGCCTTTACACTCCTCTGTTGGGACATGTATGCACTGTGAAGAGCAGACATGCTTCGATGAAGTTCTATTCATGTATGTATTTTGAAACAATAAACCTCGTCAAGAATTCTTCCCTTTGTCTTGTTGTTCTGCATTTCAGAGCGACGCCAGATTTTACTCAGTACCAAAAGTAAAAAAAAAAAAAACCCACAATCACTGTGGTTCCAAAAACACCCGCAGGCCATGGATGATTTATTCGGTGACATCATGCTTGCTTGCATCACTGTGTTGCCTGTTACCATGGTGATGATGATGACCCCGTTGCCTTCGGTGGAATCTAGATCTTCACCTGACTGGTTGAACTGTGTGTGTGTGTGTGTGTGTGTGTGTGTGTGTGTGTATGGTGGGTTATTTTAATGTTTACGGCAGTTATGAGATTGTGCATACTCATGGTTTCATGTAGTCTGTCAGACGCTAGATCAGATGCTATCTAACTGGAGCCAGGGGCGCCACCAAGGGGGGGGCCTGGGTCTGACCTGACACAGGTGCAGTATGACACTATCTACGTTTACATGGAGCGTAATATTCAGATTATAATCAATTTAAAAGCCCAAAAGCCCAAACAGAATAAAAATGCTCCACGTAAACACCTAAATCTTTAAAATGGGAAAAATCTTTACTAGTTTAAATGTTTTTGATACAAACACTTAAAGAACTGAACATTATTGGATGCCTAGAGAGCAGGAAAATAATAAATAACAACCTATACAAACAAGTCCACTTAAACTTTTGCTTCTTCAGAGCTGTTTAATGCATCGGCACATGTAAACACCAGACCCGCTTAGATCATATCCCCATGTAAACACTTAATCAGAAATCTTCAATCGGAATCATTTTAGCTAGCTAGTGTGGCTCATTGACATGTTTTTAATATTTTTTGAACATAAGACATGTCAAGGTTTGGACTCACAGATAATACTTGTTAGTAGGATCCGTCCATTGTTTGTTTTAGTATTTTCATGGAATTTGTTAGAAAAATTGAATTTCATTATCCTTAAAAAAACAGTTTTCTTTGATTTCTTGAATATCTGTGCAGAGTTGTGGCGTTTGCACAGGAATCTTTGCACAAACACGCATATTGAACATACAGTGAATTCTTGCAGTAAGTGTCTCAGATGACTTCCCCTGTGGAGAGTAAAGCTTAAAGAGATCACACATGGCTGCCAGTGAGTTTCCAACAGGTATCTGAACTCCCTCCAGACTCGTTCTCCATAGACACAGTCCCGCCTTCTCTCCTCCCCTCAATGAAACACACTATTATCATTTCAATCAGGTAACTCTTCAAACTGGGAACAATCTATGTCCCTTGGTACTTTCCGATATACATGTGTCTTCTTGGGCTCATGCGAGTACAGTTACGGCTGTGAAAATCCCCAAGCAATTGTCTTTTGTGCAAAAACTGTTGAACATGTACACTGTCATGCTGCTCAGAGTGTAACATTTCAAATAAGGCCATAGTACACCACTGGAAAATAGATAGCGGCCTTACTGACAGGCTGCTATTAAAATGCTCCTGTACTTTAGTGTGAAATGAGAGTCTGCTTGTCTATCCACAGCCAATTACAGTGGTTTGTGAGCTTAGTGACGACACCCCTACCTAATTACAGTTAGTGACTAAGTGTAATTACATAGAATGACACCCACAGTCTCATAGTACTATACTGTATGCTCCTCAATACAATACGGTCACAATATATGCGACATTAGACGGACCGAATGTACAAAATGCTCCATTAAACTGTAATCATGGGAGTCAGAAGGCAAGATGACTAATCAAACATGGTATAGGAGCATTCAGGAAAATGTATGAAACTGATCCAGATGTTGAAATGTTTCTCAAGCTTTAATTAAAGGAGAATTTAGAGTTAAACCCAATTTACAGCTGTCTACATCTGGTTTGCGTTTCCTCTAATCATTTTGGAACACGTCATGTGATTATATTTACAAAATGTTCCATTCTTTATTGTTCTTGAAAGCATGCTGTAATTGACCTCAGCTTGAAATAAAATTTGGCTTCAAATCAGCTGCTGTCCCGGCTAACAAAAGGGCACTAAACAAAAAGAGTAGAGCGGTCTGTGTGGCAATAAAGGTTATGATGCCGATGATTTCATCCCCTCAACTGGGACTTAATCAACAAACCCTGAACAAATGAACGTCTCACATTTATTGTGATGGATTACATCAAACTTGAGAATATGTTTCACTGGCAGGAAGAATCTATACTGGTACTCTATTTGATTTTAAGAAAATATAATTGGCAGCCAATATGAAGCAAACTGCTGCTGACCAGCAGGAACCCAGATATCAAATGTCATTATCACCATACTGCAGAGGAGTATGAACTGCTGATAGTTAATGTACATGTTTCCATCCGTCTGAATAATGTAAAGGATTTAGATAAAACAGTTATTGTGAGTAACAAGCAGTGTCACCAGCTTACAGGAAAGATTTACCACAGTTTCATGGACCTTATACTCTCAAATTTAAAAATGGTGAAAGCAGAACTGCACTTGAGGCGTTTGTGTACAAGATGGAACTGAGAACGGTTTGTACATTATCCTACAGGAAGAGGAAGGACCAGCCATGCTAGCGGCTCCGTGAGGTTGCACAGCAGTGCAATGAGCTAAATGCTAATGTTAGCATGTTAGGATGCTCCAACTGACAATGCTAACATGTTTACATTCAGCAAGTACGTATAATGTTTACCATGTTCACAATCTTAGTCTAGATGCTAACATTTGATAATTAGTAGTAAATACAAAGTGCAGCTGAGGCTGATGGGAATGAAATTAGTTTTGGGGGTGTTTAGTCATAAACCAATACACGAAGCAATCAAGTATGTAAAAAAAAAAAAAAACCCAAAAACGGAATAAATAAAACCTTTGACCTGCTGGGGGCAGAATTCAGGATACCAAAGTCAGTAGGATTCAACTCTGTGCACCATGAATGTGTGTACAACAACAACAACAACAACAGTTGTTGAGATATTTCAGTCGGGACTTTTAGTTGGTAGACTGATATTGACATAGCCAATCATAGAGACATGCACCATAGCTAAAATACAAAAATAGAAAATAAAAATAAAAAGTCTTGTATGTATGTATTCCTACTTTTCTGAACAACTACACATTTATTAATTCACTATAATTTAGTCCATTAATAAATACACAAATGTTCATACAGCTGTAAGGTGTTGTCTTATTGTGCAGCTGACTATATTAAAGAGCTTTGGGACAGGTTTGGGAGCATTCAGTCTCATCTTAGCTTAGCTTAGTGGCACAGCCAGCTAGGCTACCAACAGCTGAGATGGAATAACATCTTGCCAGTTGCTTGTCTCTTGTCTTGGCATGTTTATCTTCTCAAACCACTCATAACCAGTTTACAACCTAATATGTATCAGGGTTGCCAAGTATCAGTTTTTATGTCCTCTGATGCATCCAGACAGCTGCTGGTATTTTGAAATCGGAAAAGATTAAGACACACTGTTACCATGTCAGAAGTCTCCTTCTGTTTTGTTTACTACAAAACAACATCTGGAGGATATTACAGTATAGTATATGACATACAGACCACATAATACAGAACTTTATCCTTTCGGTAACACCCCAATAGCACGTTATGGGGCTGTTCATAGTGAATTATAATGCATTCATGATGCTTTATGATTATGTCTTTGACTTTATGACATTGTATATGACTTTATGTCTTTATGATTAGTCATAAACTAGATGTTAACTGTTGACAAATAACTGACTTATAATGCATTATGACTGGCTATAGTCACCTATACAAACCTCAACAATCAACTGCAATAAGGACTCATAGTATGCTATAATAGTCCACGCAGTATCACAAGTTATCTTTGCATATGTCAAGTAACATGAAGTAAATATTGTTCCATCTAAAATAATGCATGCCTCATTGTAATGTTTCATTGTTGGTGGTAAGTAAAGTGTAATACTTTTTGCTGCATCATAAGATATTATTAAGCCAAAGTACAGAGGCTTACAAGTAACATTTGTAACCTTAAATATAAATATGTTCAAAGTAAGTAAGTAGTCATTAAGGATTATGAATGCATTATAATTCACTATGAATGCCCCCATAATGCACTATAAATGTGGTCTTCATATAAAGTGTTACCTAACTTTCTCACTCACTGTAGTTATAATAGCCTACTTTCAGTGGGAAAATGTAGCAGTGTTAAGCAGTGCCAGTCCCACAGTACATCCATTCACAATATGAGCAATTGGCTGTAATTTGTTAATCAAATACAGAAAGTAGGACACAGACACAAACACAGACATAGACAGACACACACACACACACACACACACACACACACACACACACACACACACACAGAGAGAGAGAGAGAGACACAACACACACACACACACACACACACACAAACACACACACACACACACAAACACACACACACACACACCTACACGCACACAAACACAAACACACTCACACACACACTTGATTCATCTGGTCCAGTCACCCTATGTGCCTGCTTTGTGATAAGCTAAACATTCTGTAAACATTACCCAGTGCATGGTTACTGTCACCATGGCAGCATGACAACAGCACTCAGCTCGGCCCCTCAAACCCGGGACAGTAGTGTTATTTAATATTTGGCTACGCATGAGCACAGCATGTTTCTATCACATAATCCTGTCACACCAGCAAAGACTTCTCTGTGCAGCCCTGCTGACTCCCTTGCGCGGCTGAACGCAGCCCAGCTGTTGCTATGTTTTGGTCTTATTGCACAACAACAACAAAGGATAAAATACTCGCTGAGAACAGTCTGCCCTTAGTGCAATCCCACACACTTTGTCCACTGTCAGCATCACATGGGATGAGAGCAGATGCTTTTGTTGAGATTTAGGGCACTTACATCATATTAAGGAAATGTATAAAGTAAGTCAGAACAAAAACAGATCTGTTAATGTGTCTGGAAGTGAGGAGTTTGATGCCAAAATAAGACTTCAACTTTAGGAATATGAGCTATTTTGATCCCTATTTTTTTCAAAAAAGCAGCATTCTTGAGCTCGAAAATT